CAGCAGGAGTTGTCTCCAGCTCTGACTCTGGTGTCAGGTCCTGCTGCAGACAGGCAGTGTGCCAGGACGTGGAGCAGGCTGCAGGGGTGCTGCTGGCAGGTGAGCATCCCCTGGCCCCAGACAAGAGAGACATCTCCAGCTTCTGTTATAGTGCCACTCAGTAGGATTAATAGAGTTAAACTTGGGATTTTTCTGGATCCTAGCACAGATGTGGCAAATTGATTGACTTTCCAGTGACTTCATCAGTCCCTTTTTCTCTGCACCTCAGAGTCCAGAGCAGTATTTCCTTGGGACATCACATCTGTAGGTTCTCCTCATGGTTTGTCAGCAATTGAGGGTGTCATGCCTCAGCCTCCTTGTAGATGCAAGCACCACCCACCTCTTAAGGGGCTGAACAAGATCTTCCCTGTTGAGAAATCCAGCTGAATTTTCCATCACTGAAATGCATAGGAATAGTTTTCAGTATTCAAAGAATTGTTTTCATTTTCAGTAGGCTGTACAAACAGTACCTGTGCATCCCCTCAGTGCTCCTGTGATGCATGGAAGTGTTTCACTCTCAGCTTAACCCACTGGGAAACTGCAGCAGCTTCTTCAAGAGGCCAGAGGAAGTAAACCTTGTCCTGGGTAAAAGCTGTTCATGCCTTTGGTAGTCTGGCTGTTGACTTTTGTGGGGTTTGGGTTAGTGCTGGCAAGGTGTGGAATTGGATTTCAAGAATTATTGACTGAGTCTCTTCAGTATGCCTCAGCACAGTCACCTTCTGGGGTCGTGGAGTCCCAGCACACCTCGAAGGATGTTTTGTGCACGTTGGCCCCCAGCACTCTGCTCATGTTCTTGCAGATTTATTCCAGTTGTAAAAGAAACTGATGACAAAGCCTTGTGCTTATTGAGCACAGGCAGAGTTACTTACAAAGGCACTTTTCTTGGGACGTGGCAGGAATTAGTGGCAAATAATTTTCTTCCACTTAGATCCCAAACCTGCTTTGGTTTGTGTGCAGCCTAAAGGCTCTGCCCCCCAGCTCCCCCGAGTGCCACGTTTGCTGTGGCTGTGCACACGAGTTTCCTTCTTGCCATCCCAGCTTGGGTTTTCACTGGATCTGCACCACTGCCAGAGGAACGTTCAGGAGACTCCACCCTGTTGAGACCTGCCCCCTTTGCTTTGGGTGGGGGGCTGTGTCTGCAGCTTGGGCACAGTTTGCTGTTGCTTTGGTTCGTTGTGCCTGCAGAGAGGCTGGAATGGGTCTGGTAGTTGTCTGAAAGAGAGCAGCAATAGTTAAATACAACTTGCAGTTGCAGTCGCAAGTGACCTTTTTTTCCTTGCCTGTCACATGGAGCCTGGGAGAAGCATATGGGACAGGAGGGGGTGGCCTTCTGTCCATCTTCTTGTCTATCTCCACCTGCTCCACTGGATTTAATGTGCAATTTCATAACTGGCTGGGACTGCAGCTGATCCTAGCTAGTCCAGAGGGGTGGGCAAGATGCCTCCCCCATCGTCTGGAAAGATCCAGTGCCAGTTTTCTGTGACTCTGGGAGGGGACCTGAGTGACACGGTGCATGGAGTGCTGTGGTGGTGCTGTGCTCTGTGTGCAGGGGATCTCTGTGGGCCACTTCAGCAGGGAGCAGTGGTGATGGACTCACCCCCAGCAGCACAGTGCTGCTCAGGATGACCTGCTGGAGCTGTCAGAAGCCTGACTTGTAAAAATGAGATCAAGTAAATTAGCATAGCCTAAGGACTTCTTTGAATTGTATGTTGTCCCTTCACCTCTAACTTATCTCCCAGCATTCACTAACCATGAATATTTAATATAGCCACCACTGTATCCCATGGAATAAATGACAGGCTGGGAGTTTCAAAGCTTAATCTGAACAGCAATGCATAGACAGCAACACTGGAGAAAAAAGCATCACACTCAGAGCAAATCCTTTTTCATAAGCCCACTTATTAAAAAAAAAAGTAATGTAATATCATGAGTTTTCATTAATACTAGTCTTCAATAAGCCTAAAGCAAAACCTTGCTTGCTGTGAGCTTGCTGAGCTTGTTCTGCAGAACTGCCTGAAGATGCTGAAGGCTCACAGTCAGTGTGAGCATGAGGCCAAGACAGAGCTGAGCTCTACTGGAGTAGATGTTCTCAGTCCTCAGTTGTCTTTCCCAGAGAAGGTGATTGTGGATGTTTCACAGGAATAGCACTGCTCATTTTCAGCCACCACAGAGTGCTTTACACCTGCAAAGTGCTATAAAAATGGGAGCTAACCCTCCCCAGTGAGCGAGTGTCATTGTACCTGCTTTGTAGATGCAGAAATTAAGATACAGCAAGGACTGACCCAGGGTCCCATAGCTGCTCAGCAGCAGATTTAGGATGAAGAAACAGATCTCTCTGGTCAGATTCCATTGATCATGCTGCCTTGCAGCAAAGGTAGCTCAAATTTCCTAAATATATATAAACAATCCTGGAGAAGTAGTTGTTTCCCTCTTTGCTTCTTCAAAATGAACAAGCTTCCAAGCTACCAAACCCCACGTTTATATGTATCATTAAATAGTTTCCAGTTGCTAGCCAGAAAACTCAGCAGAAAACCTGTAGAACACCAAAGCAACTGCCTTCTTTTAAATAATAGATGATGCCAAATAGCAGCAGCGTTATGCCAACAAAGAGATCAGTCTCTCAAAATATTTTATTCATTATGCTTCAAGAAACCCAAAGCCTTCTTTTTAACGAAAGCAAATTTCAGAAGTTGGCTCTCAGTTCATCTGAAACATCTGCTTATTACAAATCTTGGTGCTACAGTACTGGTGCTCCCCAGTAAATCTTTCAGCTTTAAATAATATGTGTATGGAAGTCTTGGCAAAGAGATCAGGAGGGAGAAAGAGTAATCTTTGCCAAATATGCCTTTTGCTTTGTGGGGCTGTAGTGGTATATTTTAATAATGCATGTATTGAAGAGGATCTACTAATCCAATTAAATAAAAGGACAAGAAAGGATTCATTCCAAGGTTCAAAAAGAGCCTATTTAACACAGCTGAAACTTTCTATTCCAGTGTAAAATGGTTAGGAGCCTTGGCTGACTACACTTCTGTAAAAGAGCCAGGAATGGATCTTTCTCTGTACTCTTCATAAATCAAGGTCACTTACTTGAGAAGGCCATGTTGTGATAAATCTGCCTGACAATTAGATGGAGAGGGCATATTGATGTTAAATTGTATTCTTTGTACTCTCTGGTCAGAAGGCAATATAAACACCACAGTGGCATTATGAAACAGAAAATTGCATTCCAGATAATAGCAGATATTCACAGCCCATGCTTTTCCACTTCAGCGTGCTGCGTTTCACTTGGTCGTATTAATATCTGAAATTATGTAATATTTCCTTCTTTATGCACAGCTTGTTTTTTCCACTGAAAAGGCACATTGCTCTCCCTCTCCTTTTCCCTCTCCCTCTCCTCCCTCTTGTTCTGCTTTTTCCCTTTCCCATTTTTCCTTTTCCCTTTTCCTTAACATTGATGCTTGGGGAAAAAAAAAAGAGCCTGAAGCTAAACTGTCTGTGTGAGAAAGTACCAACGAGGAGTTTGAAGATTTATAAGCCAGGATTTTATGTTATATATTTACAGATTCAATCTGCGTGCCAGGCTTTGATCCAAGCCTTAGCATGATGACTGGAATCACTCCAATTAACCCAATGATACCAGGCATGGGGTTAGTGCCACCACCACCACCAACAGATGTGCCTGTAGTCAAAGAAATAATCCACTGCAAAAGCTGCACACTCTTCCCTCCCAACCCAAGTAAGTGGATCTGATGGAAGAATGTTGTTTTCCTGAATACATTGCATGAAACATTTTTTTATGTAATAAAAATGATGGTGTTTAAATACAGCATAGGCAAATATGAGACCTTCTAAGGTCTGCTCTGGGGTTGAAGCATGGTGTGGTATCAGAGCATGCTAATTCACCCTGTAAGGTCAGGTGGAGAAAGCTACACAGTGTGTAACACAATGAAAAAGAATTACTTAAAGCTAACAGAGCCTGAAGATCTACACATCTCATAGCAGAAACCTGTATTTCCTGTGGATCAGAATGTCACAAAATACAGTTATTGTACAGTGCTGGTCGTGTCCATCCTCCTCCTCAGGAGCCCACGGGGAGGTGGGTCCAGCCTGGGCTCGTGTCTCTGAACGTGGCTCCTTGCATTCCACTGCTGGCCAGCTCCAGTGCCTCCCTGGGGAGAGGGAGGGGAGGGGGGTGGACATCCTCTCCTGCCATTTCTGGTGGGGCATCCTGGCAGATGAGGTCCTTCTCCTCTTTGGGAGCTGGGACTGGGCTTCCTCCTGCCCTTTCTGGGACTTTGTGCAAGTGGAGAGCTCTTCCCACTGAGCCACCAGCTCAGGCACAAAGCCTGATTTTGGGTGTGCTGGCCCCAGCAGTTCAGTTCCAGAGCCATGAGATCAGTGGCTTTCACTGTCACTGTGAAGACAAAAGGGAAAATTAAGCAGACAGTCTGAGGCTCTGGATTTGCAGCGTGCCCAGCTTGGGGTTGGATCCAGCTGTGTGTGAATATGTATATATATGTATATTTTAAGGTTGTGACCTCATTTACTTCGTTAAAGGGCCAAAAACTGAAGCCATATCAACCATAGTCCTTCCTGGAGAATTACTTTTAGAGGAATGCTCTTGTGATCTGCATCTAAACAAAGTGTTATGACAGAGTATATCTTTTTATACAGCCTTCAGAAATTTAATGGTTTTCTGATTTAAGTTTTATATATATTATAAATATATATTTATATATCCACCAAAAGCATGTTCCAGCCCCCCCCTGCTGAGCACTTGTAAACAGGGAGGTTATCCCTCCCCTGGGCTGGCGCTCGCTCCCTTATCTGGCAGCAAGGCAGAGCAGATAACAGGCAGAGCCTTTTCATCATGCTGTCACTGCCCTGGGCTCCCCACTCTGCTCCTCACTCGGAGAGAGCAATGGAATAATGCTGAGGGCAGGGAGGGGTGCTCAGCCCCAGTGCCCAGGGGGTGCTGGGTGTGGGTGTGCTGGCGGGGGGCTCGTGTGGCACGTGGTGGGTGTGAGCCAGGGGTGGGGACGTTCAGGCTGTGAGTGTGCTGCAGGAGTGCCTGAGGTCTCTGCCCAGGATCACAGCAGCTGCAGAGGCTCCCCTGCTTCAGAACAGAATATTCCTGCTTTCTGTGTGACGGTGCAGGGAAAGGAAGATCCTGTTAGACCTTACTGCCTGTCTTGGAGAACAAGCCACAGTGACAGCAATTAATCTCTGAAACGCCACCCTAAACTTGAAAAGGTTTAGATTCATCAGTTTTGGACAATCTCTCCCATACTCCACTGTTTTGCTTCTTCCTGCTGCCTCCATGCTACGTGGAGTTACTGTTGCTGCCCAGAACTGAGGAGGGGATGAACAGAGCAAACGGATCAAACGGCAAATTTTGTGTTCCAATGTGATTTCTGTTTTGACTTAGATCTTCCACCACCTTCAACAAGAGAGAGACCTCCTGGGTGTAAAACAGTGTTTGTTGGAGGATTACCAGAGAACGCCACGGAGGACATTATTCAGGAAGTCTTTGAGCAGTGTGGAGATATAACAGCAATTCGGAAAAGCAAGAAGAATTTTTGTCACATTCGTTTTGCAGAGGAGTTCATGGTTGATAAAGCCATTTACCTTTCTGGTACTTCACATTCTTTAATGGATTTGCCTTGCTTCTCATTTGTGTTTTGTGATGCTAATGTTTGCTTTTTTTCTTAGCTTTTACCTCAGCAAGTCTGTCCTGAGCTCGGTGGCTGTCGCTTGGAGTGGCAAGGGGCAGTTCTGTATTTTCCTGTGCCTGCCAAGGCTTGTGTGAGTTTGGATGTTGCTCACCTGGGAGCAATCTCCTGCCATCCCACAGCAGTGCAACAGGTCCCCACATTCACTGCAGGACAGCCTGGGTTTCGGAGTACACACGTTTCGGGGTTCAGCCCCCAGGCTGGGGAAGGAGAGGAGGGCACTAGCCAGGGGTGCTGCTCTTTGCAGTGCCAGTTCTCTGCTAGGCTGGTGGTTTCACTGGCATGTCTCTATAGATTTGCAGTGCTCTCTGAGTGAATCTGCCCTTGGGCTGGTGTGCATTCAGCCACCACATGGGCTGGGTGCTGAGCCCCCCCTGCAGCCCAGGGCTGCTGCCTCCAGGAGTGTCACAGGAACTGGGCTGTAAAGTTCCAGAATCAGGTTTATTTGCCAGCACAGGGGCAGCCGTGCAAGGGGCTCTGACTCACAGGGCAAAGGTTTAAAAGGTCAAAGGAGATAAATGATGGAAGATCACAGTTCTGCTTTTATTGGTGACTCTCCTGAATCTCTTTATTGTCCAGTGGTCAGCCCAGACCTAGCCCTTGACAACATGTCAGGCTCCAGTGCCTGTCAGTGCCCTCCTAGGGTCACAGGCTCCTTCAGAGGAGGATGGGCTTTGTCACTGAGTCCTTCCCCACCTGTCTGAGCTGGAGCCCATCCACTGGACATACTTGTCTCCACAGGTGGGTTCATCTCTCTGGGTCCTGGGAGGACCCACAGGTGTTGCTTTGCCTCACAAGTGTAGTTAACACTTTCATCCCACATGCAACATATTCTTAGATAAACAAGGGCCAGGGACAACTTCTTGGCCAGGATAAGCTGACACTGATGGCTGGCAGCACCCATCCTGTGCTGAGTGACCTCGAATGGACCTACTAGAACCATCCAGAATGGTGCCTGTGAGGCAGCTCGTGATTAGGAAAACCTTGTTAGAGCTCCCACCCTGACCATCTTCTGTTCAGCAGTGAGGACACAACCTCAATGTCCTGGCAGTGTCCATCAGAAGCTCACACAGCCAGAAACAAGTGGTGCCTCAAATCACCATCCACTACGTCTTAAAATTTAAAAAAAAAAAAAAAAGAAAGAAAGAAAGAAAAGAAAACATCTGAACTTTTTGAAATATGTGATCAGGAAAAGCCTAGATCCTTTGTTTCACAAAGGTTTTTGTGTTTGGGGTGGTAGTTGTGGGGTTTTTGCCTAGCTTGGCTGCTTGCTTTAAGTATCAGCCTGAAAAGCTACTGAAAATGGTGCATTTTGTGAGGCCTATAGAAAGATTTCTTTGAAATATTACTGTATTTTCAAGTTTCTTCCAGGTCTTCATTGCACCCTCATTATTTTCTTCTCGTTTTTTTCTTATTTTCACTTAATTTCTCCTTTCCTCCTCATCCTCTCTTCCCATTTTCCATCCTTCCTGCTTATTTCTTTATTGAAATGACTCCCATAGGGCTGCAGTTGTTGGGGCAGATCACAGGCAGCTCAGTGGTAAGGAGCAGCAGCACCTTTGCTGGGTTCCAGCTTCTGTGGAGGGGTCCCCAGCTCCACAAGTGGGGGTGCAGAGGAGGGACAGGCCAGGCTCAGCAGGAGCTGCTGCCACTGTGTCTGATAAATAAAACAGTGCCAAGAAAGGTGGCAGAGAACAACTCCAGAGTGCAGGGGCTGCCAGCCTGGCTGAGGTTCCTGCCTCTCAGCAGCTGACTGCACCCTTTGCTTCCCTCTAAGTTTTGTTTTAATTTTATATACCTTAAATCTTGGAGGACCAGGTTTGATGGTCAGAGGCAGGAAATTCCCTGTGTGTCCTCATCCTTAACACACCAGAGTGCACACTCAGAACGAGGGGAGCAAGCAGAGAGGGAGGTGACAGATCCCCCTCCCCATCATTCCTCATCCTGAGTGCTCTGCTAGTTTATTTCCAAGTTCCTGATCCATCCTTCCTTCTTCCAGTTCCTTCTAAAGTGTCATCTTTAGTGTCACTGCCCACACCAGGGAAGGAACCAGTGGAGCTGGCAGGGAGGAAGATGACAAGCAAGGGCAGGCTGTAGCCAAGGTTTGCTGGTTTTTACCACCAGTGCTGAACTCTGCAGGTGAAGCAGGGAGCACTGAGTGTCCCCCACCACTGCAGAGCAGGGAGGTCTTGGGCTAGGCAGGGGAATGTTTTATTTCTATCAAAATATTGGGGTTTTTTAATCAGTCTTTATTCCATTCTCCAAAAGAATGTATTCTGGAATGGTGGGTGTAAAGTGTATTGTTAAGGGATTTTCTTTTCCCTGTGAGACACAAAAGAGACACACAAACAATTTATGGCTAATCTTTTATGCATAATATATTAGGAGAAAGTCATGCCTTTGATAGCTGTGCTATAATGATAATTTTGTCCACCTAATCAGTTTTATCTGTCTATCCTATCTAATCTCATCACACTTTGCATTTATCCTGTGCTTATCCTCAGAACAGCACGAGTGATTACAAAACCCATCCAGTAGTTTAATCACTGATTTTTTTTGCTTTTGATTCCCAAGTAAACACATAAGAGAAGGAGGCTGGGATAGGGGTAGAAGACTATAACAAAAAAGTTGACTTGAGGAAGGGTGGTTTTCATTTAACCCCAAAAGTTACATTTTGATCTCCTGAGGAGATTTTCTAAAATCAACATTCCAGCCCATGAGAAGGCTCCTTCTCCAACCTGGGTGTACTTAACTCTTGTGTCTGACAATTCAGTGACTCTTGCAAATATTCCTAGCCCCAGACTGGAAGATCTGGGCCAGGAGGTGGCCTGGGACACACCTCTGTATATCCCCAAAGCCTGTGTATGCCTTTTTGCTGTGCTGGGATTTTCCCCTGTGGGTTTCCACTTAGTACAACATACTGGTTTTATTTTATGTTCTTGCTGATCATCATCAACACTCTGATCTAGATCCCAGTCAGAAAGCAGCCACTGGCTGGTCCCCAGTGTAGCAACACTCAAAGGTAAGTCAACTAACCCACAGAGTTTTGACCAGACCTGTGATATGGAAATGCTGTGTTTGGGTTTTATTTGGCACTGTCCTGGCAGTGCTGAGCAAGGAGATGGGCAGGAGGGTCTGTGAGGGCAGTTCATGACCCATCCATGAAGGAGAGGCCATGGCAGCTGGTTCTTTCAGACATTCAGACACTCTCCAGCATCAGTGAGGAGGGGGGATACTGGAGAGGAGCAAACCTCCCAGCTGCCCCACGCCTGGCAGGTGACAAAGGTCCCAAATACAAAGCAGGACCTGCCAGGCGTGTGCCCCTTGCTCCATGTCCTGCTGTCCTTTAACCCACCAAGGGATCCTCTTCCTGGCCAGGCCTTGGGCCCGTTGTGTCTGCAGGGCTGGTCTGGGGGGTGCAAGGAGCTGTGCAGGAGTCCTTGGCTGCTTTTGGTAAGGGGAAGGTGCCAAGCCCTGACCAACCTCACCCAGCTTGGAAGCTGCCCCTGCTTTGGGATGGGGGCTGGACTAGGTGACATCCAAGGTCCCCTCTGATGCAGGTTATTCTGTGTTTCAGTGCTGGTGGAAGCTGGATGGATGGTTGGCCACCTTCAGTCTTTAGACTTAAACAAGCTGTCAGGTTTTTGATTCATGAGAAATTTCATAAATCTGTTAATTTGGAGGCATGTAAACTGGTTACCTAAAGGGAACCATTTGTCCACTGCTACAAGGGGTTTTGAACTGCAGTCTACACTGTTAAACATTGGGGTTTCTTTATCCATTAGCCCCATTTACTTCAAAAGTGAGGGGCCACTTTGATACAACCCAGTTTTGCTGGTGCACATGGCACCTGCAGATGTATAGTCATTATCATTAGTTCTTTATTCAGTTTAAGTGGAGCTTGAGGTCCACAATTGCCTTGCATCCTGCAGTACTGCTTTTCTCACCCTGCCCATGCCCAGTGTGCTCCTGCCAGCCAGGGAGAAGAGGAGAGCTCGTGTTTCCCTGGAAGTACAGCCCAGCTGGGAGATGTAATTTGAGGTTCAGGAGGCCTGGCACCCTGGCAGTGTCCTTTCACACTGCTGATAGTGCCATTTTGGCACAGAGCAGGCACTGTGTGAGGAATGCAGCTGGCAGTGGGAACTGGGGGAGGGTTAACATTTGTCACAGTTATCAGGGTAGCTGCACCCCTGACCCCTTTTGGCTGACCCCTTCATGCCTGCACCTCTGTGGATGAAACCACCTAATTACCCCCTCATTAGTTCAGAGCCCAGCTCAGAGAGGTCACCCACACTCTCCTTCTCTTATGTCTCACTGAAGGTGGTGTATCTGTACATCACTTGTGACCAGAGCTACATATACAACCCCAGAGAGCCTTCTGGGAGAGAAAAATAGTGTCTGCTCCTCTGAGCAGGAGAAGGCAGAGCAAAATAAAGGGGGCTTCAAAATAACCACCAGTCCCTCATTTGCCTCTCTTTCAATGTTCAGTTGTACTTCACCCCAGCCTCGTGAACACTGGACACCAGATTGGGTAGATTCCATGGCAGTTTTTCTTGCCTTCTGGCTTTGAAGGACCTCTGAAACACGTAGCTCAAGTTTTTTATCTGGGTTTGGGCTCCTTGCTGGAAAACAAAAGTCATACTTCTTCCTCACTGACAGGCTGCTTAGCTGATAGTCCACTCCAGGAAAATGCCAAATCAACAGGCATCAGGATAGGTTTGGGTTCTTTTGGAAGGATCAGTACATCTGTGGGCACTGAGTGTCTTCAGAGCTATTGTCTCCTGTGTGCTGGAG